CCGGAGAATTTAATTCAGATCTATTTTTAAGTTCACTATTTCTCTCTGTGACTATGTTTTATCTGTTACACTTAGCCATTGAATATTTATTTATTTAATGTTTACATTTAAAAAAATTTAGGGGCTCCTGGGTGGCTCAGTTGGCTAAGTGGCCAACTTTGGCTCATGTCATGATCTTGTGGTTCATGAGTTTGAGCCCCCACATCGGGCTCTCTACTGTAAGAGTAGAGCCCCATTCAGGTCCTCTGTCTCCCAATCTCTCTGCCCCTCCCCCCCCCCCCAGGCCCCCCCCCCCCCCCCAAAAAAAAAAAAATTTTAAAAAAAAAAAAATTTTTTTTTTCTTTGTCCCAACCCGGGCGGGGGGGGGGGGGGGCGGGGAGGGGAGGGGAGAGAGAGAATCCCAAGCAGGCTCCACACTCAGCATGGAGGCTGATGCAGGGCTCCATTCCACAACCGTGGGATCATGACCTGAGCCAAAATCAAGAGTCAGACTCTCAACCAACTGAGCCACCCAGGCACCCCGGGATTTTGAGGTTTTTTAAATGTTTTTTAATGTTTACTTTTGAGAGAGAGTGTGAGCCAAGGAGGGGCTGGGATAGAGGGAGACACAGAAATCTGAAGTAGTCTCCAGGCTCCGAGCTATTAGCACAGAGCCCAATCCGGGGCTTGAACCCACGAACCGTGAGAACATGACCAGAGCCCGAGTTAGATGCTTAACCAACCGAGCCACCCAGGTGCCCTGCCCTTTGTGGCCTATAGTAAAGTGCCTTTATCTAGGAAGGACTTACTTCCTACTGCCAGGTGCCTATGAGGGAGTCCAGGATCGTTTTAAATGAGATCCATAGCCTGAGATTTTGGGGGACCATTCAGGTGATACAAACTTGGGCTGCAGAGCCATGAGTGTCAACATCAGATTTCGATTTATCTGGAAAAGATGTTCCCTTTTCTGCTTACCACCAAGGTATTTTTTTTTAGGCCCCCTTTTTGGGGAAAGGAGAGAATTCTCCAGTAGGTGTAGCCTTTTGGGGCCCGAGCTTTATGGGGAAGAGTCACCTATGGAGCACATCACCTTATACTGCCCCCTTTTTTTTACCTATGAAGAAGAAAATTCTAGCCCAATGTTGCCAGTTTTGGCAAATGCCTCAGGACCCAAGTAGTTTAGGTGCTGTGATAACCTCTCCCTCTCTGAGTCCTCACCTTTACTTGGTTTCTGGCCAGAAGGTTCCTTATCCTCCTCTTTGCTCTTTGATGCTTTTAGGACTATTTAATCTGGATGTCTGACTGGTTCAGTCAATAGAGCATATGACACTTGATCTCAGGGTTGTAAGTTGAAACCCCACATTGGATATAGAGCTTTATTTTTTATTATTTTTTATTTTTTTAATGTTTATTTGTTATTGAGAGACAGAGGCAGAGCATGAGCATGGGAGGGGCAGAGAGAGGGGGAGACACAATCTGAAGCAGGCTCCAGGCTCCGAGCTATCAGCACAGAGCCCGACGTGGGGCTGGAACTCACGAACTGTGAGATCATGACCTGAGCCGAAGTCGGTGGCTCAACCAACTGAGACACCCAGGCGCCCCTGGGTATAGAGCTTTAAAACAAAAACAAAAAACCCACTGAAACCATTTGTCCAGTATTTGTAGTTAGCTGAAGCGAAACTGTGGCCTCTGTTCCCAGGTTGGAAATGCCTGCTCAGAGCAGTCCGTGTTGGAGCACGGTCAAGGCCCACAGCCCTGAAGGAGGAGCTGAGTGTGTCTGGAAGAAGTATCCCGCTCTCCCCTCCACCCCCCCAGATAAAGACGGAAAAAATGGGCAAGTAATTTCAGTGCGTAAGATGAACTAAAAGTCGTCTACAGATCTCCAGAGGAAGGCTTCTGTGGGCTAATCTGATGACAGATACCACAGCAGGAAAATAGGGACGGACACAAATGGGCAGTTCACCGGTGCTGGGGCAGGACCCGCCTCCTCCCGCCAGGTCCAGAGTCTGGAAGAGGGGCTTTCCCCTCCAGCGGCACACTGGTCGGGATCTGCGCAGGTTCTGCCGGCAGGGGGCGCCGCTCCCTCACGTTCCCGGAGGCCGCGACGGGCCGCGGTTCTGGTTGGGTCAGGGGCCACGCGGCGGGTCCGGGCCGGCTCGCCTGCACCTGGAGGGAGTCCGGGCCTTGCCCGCTGAGGGTGGGGGCGACCTAAACCTTCCCTCGATCGCCCAGGGCGCCCAGCGGGCAGCCGGGGGCGCGCCCGGGTCTGACGACGGTGGGGTACGACTCCGGCGTCTCCGATACCCCCCACTCCGCAGACCCGCGCACGCCCCCAGAGAGAACACACGCATGCAGGCTGAGGCTTTCCTGCGGGGACTTTACTCAAACTCTGGAACTCGCGGGAGGGGCGGCTGGGCGGCGGGCGCCCCTCTCCGAGTTTAGCCGTAGCTGGTGGCCAGCGCCGAGATCACGTGGCTCAGAAACTTTTCCAGCGAGGCGTGCATGGCCGGGCTGAAGTCTCCAGGGTAGTGCCGGGCGAGGGTCACCAGCAGGCAGTGGCCCAGGAGCTGCGGAGAGAGGCAGTCGTCCCGCCCAAGGCCGTCCTTCTCCACCCCCTTTCTCGGCGACCGCTGACCCGGCGCTGGCCCGGTGCTCACCTTGAAGTTGACGGGGTCCACACGCAGCTGGCGCACGTGCAGGTCGCTCAGAGCCCACAGGGCGGTAGGCAGGTCGTCCAGGTGGGCCACGGCCCGCGTCAGCGCGTCGGCCACCTTCTGGCCGTGGGCCTTGACCTGGGCGGAGCCGGGGGTCAGGTCCAAGTGGGGAAAGTAGGTCTTGGTGGTCGGGAAGGCCAGGAAGGTCCTGCGGGAGGAATGGCTAGTGAGGTGCGATCCGAGGGCGAGGGTGGGGGGGAAGGCTTGGGGAGGAAGGGCGCCAGGAGCGGCGGGGGACGGCATCCGCGGGGCAGGCGCCAAGGCGGGGAGCCGGAGGGGCGCCGGGACCTGTTCGCCCGCACCTCTCCAGGGCCTCGGTCGCGTAGACCCCAACGTTGCTCCCCAGCTTCGTCCACAGCGCGCGCACTGCCGCCCTCTCCGCGGCGGACAGCACCATCGCGGATCCGGCGTTGAGCGGCGAGCGCTCCGCGCCGGATGGCAGCACGGACGCGATTGGTGCGTCCCCGCGGCCTCCAGGGGGCGCCACGCCGCGGCCGCGCCCCGCTTCTGCTCGTAGAAGAGTCCTGAGGGGTCCCGGCCCCGGTGCTGAGGGGTCCCAGAGTCTGGGACCTGCCCTATTGCCATGAACCCCGCGGCCCCATTTTTGTACTGTTTATTATATGGAAACTAATAATTTGTTATTATTATCATCAGGGGACACTGAATTTCATTCTCCCTCCCTTCCTCCCCAGACTATTATGACATCTCTCTGAGTCTATTTTCGCACTGATTGTAAAAAAGGAACATAAAAATGTCCTCTTCCCAAGGTTGCTGTGAGAATTAAGCAGATAACAACTGTCAAGCTCATGGCATATGTTCCTTTCCGGGCAGTAAACATTTATTAAGTTCCTCCACTGTATCTCAGTCATGATACCTGCCAGGCGCCACTCTACACATTAAATTTTTTTTTTTTTTGGAAAATTCATATAAAATTTACCGTAGTAGCCATTTTAAAGTGTACAATTCAGTGTCTTTAACCACATTCACACAATGTTGTGCAACCACAACTATCTAGTTCTTGAACTTCATCATCCGAAATGGAAACTTTGTGCCCATTAGCAGTCGCTCCACAACCCTTCCCCTCAGTGCCTGGCAACCACCAGTCTGCTCTCTGTCTCTATGGATTTGCCTGTTCTGGATACTTCCTCTATGTGGAATCACACACTATATATTCTTTTGTGTCTGACTTCTTTCATTTAGCATGTTTTCGCTCACGTTGTAGCCTGTGTCAGTGCTCCATAGCTCTTAATGGCTGAATAATATTCCACTGTATGGATAGACTACACTTGATTCCTCCATTCATCCCCTTATGGACATTTGGGTTGTTTCCACCTTTAGCCCAGGCCCTTGTTTTTCCCTAGTAATAAAAGAAGGAGACTGCCTCTTACTGGGAGCTCACACTGTGCCACCAGCTCTGTTAAAAGTAGCACAAACTGAGGCAGAGACCTGCCATATCATTTTCCAAGGATGACTCTTAGGGAAGAAAGGACACTGCTGTTAGTTGGGGGCTCAGGCCTGGATGGCTGCCAGGACCAGACCCCTAAGCACTAGCGGCTTGCCGTGAGGGGGGGAAGAGTGTGAGAGTGCAGGCTCCCAGGCCCTGGCTTTTCTCTTTGCTGCCCTGCCAGGGGGAGTCGGTGGGCCTCAGGAGTGCCAGCCTCTGGACATTGAAGTAAATGCTGAGCTGGGCCCAAAACCAGGCCTCTGGATCCATGGTGCCCCAGGCCGTCATCACCTGCAGAGTGAATGTCCTGGAAGTGACACCAGTGAAAGAGATGCCTCCAGGAAATTGCCTGCCAACCGCCATTGCACTGTTTGCCTGCCACAATGTCGTCGGGATTGCATGTGTGTTTTGTAAGCGCTTGACAGGTGTGGGGGCACTGCGGGGGACTCTGAGGAGCGTAACTTCTGGTCTTCCCCACCGCCCAACTTCAGGAAGAGCCACGGAGAGCTCACAGGTCCAGGCTGGAGGCCCACCAGCTCTCAGCCCAAGTGTGTGCCATAAAACGTAAAGATGGAAAATCAGTTCATCATTTGAGCAAATACGAGCTCCAATGGAAAGGTCTGAAGTGAACCGCAGGAAATGGCACTCATTCCACAGAGAGGGATGGGGGGTGGCCCGCAAATCCTGCACTGGCAGCAGGTCCGGCCCCACTCCCCTCCCCTTCCGTCAGCTCCCGCAGAGTCAGAGAGGTCGCTGGTACCAGTGGAGGAGAATCACCGCTCCCCCACCCCCCCCAACGTCACCCCCCTCCACGACACGACACACGAAGGCCAGCGACAAAGAAGACAGAGGCGGACAGAGGCTGCAGCCCACTCAGACTTTATTCAAAGATCAGGAAGTTCGGGTGCCCGGAGCCCAAGAGGCCCCGGGCCCTCAGGACGATCGCCCCGGCTTCACTCAACGGTATTTGGAGGTCAGCACGGTGCTCACAGCGCTGAAGAACTTGTCCAGGGAGGCGTGGACGGCGGGGGTGAATTCCGCGGGGTGGTGGCAGGCCAGGGTCACCAGCAGGCAGTGGCTCAGGAACTGCGGGGAGGGGGGACGTCAGGGGGCGTCGGGGGACGCGGCTGCCCGCACTCCGCACTCCACCTTCTGGAACCCAAGGGACTCTGCCCTCCTGCCAGCAGGGTCCGGCGAGCCCTCCACCGCAGGGGTCCCCCAGCCCGGTGCTCACCTTGAAGTTGACGGGGTCCACGCGCAGCTTGTACGCGTGCAGGTCGCTCAGAGCCGACAGGGCGTTAGGCAGGTCGTCCATGTGGGCCACGGCCTGCGTCAGCGCGTCGGCCACCTTCTGGCCGTGGGCCTTGACCTGGGCGGAGCCGTGGCTCAGGTCGAAGTGGGGGAAGTAGGTCTTGGTGGTGGGGAAGGAGCAGAAGGTCCTGCCGGGAGGAAGAGGTGGGCGAGCCACGGTTAGGCGGGGCGGCGCAGGACAAGGACCGCGAGGGGTCGCGGAGCCCCGGGTGCCGGGTGCCCACGGGGGCAAGTTGGGTGCTCACCTCTCCAGGGC